AGACGTACACACAGGTCAGTTATTGCCGCTGTACTATTTCAGCTTTCTAATTTGTGATTTTCAGCTCAATGGCGAGTACCAGAGAAAATAAAATTTTGATTCAGAACTAAAAATAGAGCCTCAAGATATGGTTTGTGACATAATAATTGACAGATTAAAGTATAGAAGTAGAATAATCTCAGTACAGAGTACTTGAAAAACCGACCTCAAAAGTTCGTGGAATTATATCTATTTGCCAAGTTTTATTGAGATTGGTTATCGGAAAGTGCGGAAACTTGGATTCATCCCCTAGCTCGCCACTATACGGAACTTAAAACAGGAGATAATAAAAATCGGTGCTCATTGCTTAAAGTATATTGAGAGAAAAACCCTTAAATTAGAGCGTAGCAAAATCAACCATTGAAATAATTACTCGTTATAAAATTTAGGCACTATTTATAAAAATAAGTCGCCGGCCATTGAAAGTTTGCCTTTCAACCAGTAATGTCTGCTGCAGGAAGTGGACATATTTTTGAAAAGGATCTCCTTACAAATCTTGTACAAGTTTTGATATCAGCCATTCTATTGACGCCATCAGTGCCAGGAAACACGAGTTATAGCTCGACCCAATTTCCATTTTAACAGTGGTAGTTTGTTTTCTTTTATAACTGCTAGAGCGGCCATCTTCAATGCGTCTTTACAAGTACGCCATTTAATCCTCAGTTGAAGCTCTGACACATATTCTTTGCTCCATCTGCGCCAGAAATGTTGTCGAAGTTTTTCAATTTGCTGGAAAGATTCAAGCGATTGTTTGGCACATCTTGATAATCCTGGCTTGGCAAGGAAGTGAACGGTCTACCGATGACGAAATATCCTGATGTCAATGGCATTAGGTCTTCTGGATCGCTCGAGAGTCGTGAATTGAAGATTGCTTCAATTGCCTCTGTGGGCCGAACGGTTAACATATATAACTGCCACGCAGAGGTCCCAGGTTCGATTCCCGGGCCGGAACCTTTGCGTGGCAGTAGAGTTGAAATAAATGTTTAATACAATGTAATAAATTTATTTCTCTCGTTAGTTTGGGTGTAATTTGTGGTTGTCTATGTGAGTGTCCATGGCACCCGCGACACAGGGTTTCCCCAGTGCGCGGCTATGATAAGTGTATGCGTTATGACATGCTAATTTGGACAAGTGCTGCACTATAGCTCTTCAAAAGTTAAGTTACAATTGCCCATCACTTTTTATAAATGGTATTTGGTCAACTTTACACCAGCCTCACATAGACGTCCGAGATGTGGCGAACAAGCTGGAATAAAACAGAAATTTATTTCTTCATTGGCGACCTCAGACGACAGCGAATCACAATTACTTTTTAAAAATTTTGAAAGGTCGTTGTAAGCATCAACAATTGATTGACCATTGTCGGAAAATATGGTTTTGGGTTTCCCCCTACACGCAATGAATCTGCGCAATGCAAATAATATATTATTGCTTGTCAAGTCATCAACCAGTTCAATGTGGAAAACCTTTGTCGTGAAACATATATTAAGGGCTATGTACACCAGCCCACATCTACGACCTGGGGCCTTACCATGAACTCTTATTACAATTCAGTTTAGGACCTAACATGAATCGTCGTGAGACAGTGCTACATGAAGTGTATACCACCATCCCGCTTTTTTGTCGTTACGAACCTAAACTGAACTGTAATACAAGTTCATGTTAAGGCCCCTGGACGACTAGCAGTTAAGTTCACTTATTTTCTTGATTTGAAGCTTATACGTCCTTGAATCAAGGTAGACAAAATCCAGCTTCGTACTAGGACCATGTACGGGACTTAACACAGGCAATAATAAAAATCGGTTCTGAGAGAGAAAAACGCCTTGAATTAGAGAATAGCAAAATCAACTATTAAAGTAATTATAACAAAATTTAGGCGATATTTAAAAAAATGAGTCTTTATGGGTGGCCCCTTAGAGGTGGATGATTTTCTTCAAAATTAAATGGGACCACTAGGGAGGTACCCTCTTTCCAACACAAATGAGTTATCGCGTAACATACATACAAAAAATACATACAGTCGAATCGAGAACCTCCTCCTTTTTTTGAAGTCGGTTAAAATGAATATTTTACGACTTAGCGCTGAATGCAAGTGTTGTGTAGGGTGATGTGATGAATGGTGGATTTTGAAGGAATCCAATGTATAATACATGAAATGAATGCTACAATACAACATTTACCGTTGAATATATAATACTAAATTAATGATTTAAAAAAGACGTTTTTTATGCAGTTTGTACCTGTTATATGTACACTCTCCTCTGATACCATTTCAAACTTAGTTTTTTTTTAAGTGTACGGTACTGTAGGATATTTTTTTATGTGAATACTGCATGATGGTAAATCATAAAATAATCTTTATATATAAAGATTAAGTGATCTAGTACAATAAAAGACTCAAAAAGATAAGAACGTCCTTATTTCTACACAATATCTATATACGAGAAAACAGCAGTAGGTGGCCCAAGGGATCAAGGTTTTTTTAAATATTTTATTACCCTATTAAAATTAAGTAAAACTATCTATATAAATTAATTGAATTATTTATTCAATTATGAAATTGACCAAAAATAATACAATCGTGTTAAAAAAATTAATTAAAAATGCCTGATTTTCTGCAGGAATAACAAGTCAGTTTTATTA